CTTCACTAACACTTTTGAATCCTAAATTAAGATTAAGTTCTTCTTTGCTTTTGAAGAGTTGGTAGAACTTCACATGGGAAGGATAATTGTATGCTGTGGCACTTTATATTTTTGTTGAGCTAATTCGGGCAATGGTAAAGGTTCAGGCATACCCAAATGGGTACTTTGTGTGTCTTCAGAATCGAAAAAATAAAAAGGAAACGTTTCCTCTTGTCTTTTTGGGGGTAGTAAGGGTTCGATTTTCTCCTCTTCACCTTCACCATCTTTCCCATCAAATTCAGTGTAACTCTAAAAATGTTCAGGTGGCTCTCTATGTGGAATTATATTATCATCATCAACCAACATCATTTGTTTTGCCTCATAATTTGCAGATTTATCAACACCAACTGTAGGAGAAGCATCAGCAACAGCTTTACCTTTATACCTATAGTCACCCCCATCTATAGGGCCATTGTAAGAAGGAACACGGTTGGTAGTCATAAGTAATAAATTACAAATTTGGTTACTTCCAGCACCAGAAGACCCATTTCCACTGGAACGATTTTCCCTTGCAAATCGATGAATACCAATTTCCATAACATTATTAACAACAAGCAGTTATACTATTTTGGGAGGCATACGACTAACAAAACTAAGAAAATATCTGACATCACTATTACCAAGAATCTGCATAACTATATTTGATCAAGGACATTGAAAAGATAGACGTATTTGATTAGTGTGTAACCTGAACTTTGAAGCAACCAACACAGTTAACGCAACGAAGTTGATATCATTGGTCATATCTACCCCAAAACATGTATAGTCTGGAGCAATATATTGCATAGATTCCTCAATATGCTGCCTTTTCCCTCCAGTAGAAACTGACACTAAAAAAAATCCTGTGTACATACTTATTACAGAATGTATAAAGAAAAGTATCAAACACACAAATATATTGCATATACGGGAAAAAAAACCACACAAATACCCTAATTTTACATCTCCGGAACAGCACTCCGAAATGCATGAGAATTTCTGACTACAATCTAGAATATGTTTTTTCAATCCGAAATGTACGAGGTGTCTTACTCCAGACCCAATTCCTACCAACGACCACCAAATACGGAACAAAAATAAATACTTTGGAATATCGTATTCCAGAATACTTTGAACGACCCCATGTTCGGAATGATGTTACGTACTCCGGAATATGATCCGGAGAAAAGGGTCATTTCTCAAAAATAATAATAATAATAATAATAATATAAGGGTTAGATTACTCAATTTCCCATTCTTTAGTTATTATACTTAATTGAGATATACTCTAAAACATACACTTTGGAACAAAATTATAAGTTGAAAGGTAAATTATGTTCAAATCACCTAAGATTAGATAACTTAATATGAATAATTGTTTGTATTTTTTCTGCTTTGTGTTTCTTCTGTAGTCAACAATACAAAGCCTGAAAGCCAGTTGGATCATCACTAATGCATAAATTGATGATTATAAAAATAATCAACATGCTTAATGACATAGAACAAACAAACAAAATGTTCAATTAGCCGACTAAAAGGTAATGGGATAATCGATTTGACTTGGGGCAATTTGGTTATATTTAAAGTATCAATTATGTGCTATAAGTTCATAAAGTAGTTATAACTTTATACTAACTTAGAAAAAAGTAATACGTTTGTTGGTTATTCTTTGTCTACACATATACTAATTACACCTTTTGGAGTGATACCCGCCTATACAAAAGAAATAGAAGACCTAGTTGTACACTGTGAAGGACTAGTATATTCATTTGGAGAGGCAATCATCAACCAACTTTGTTCATAAATCAACCTAAAACTCACCATAGCTAAAGCTCATCGTCCATGTGATCCGTTATTAAAAAATCGATATTTTTTAGCCCATTTTATTCTAAAATCTTGTTTATCCCGTCATCTTAAGTTTAAAGTTTGTGAGATCCGAACTTCATACTCACCTCATATTTAAGTATTTATATATCCCAATTTTACTTTTATTGAAAGGGAGCTCCCATTTTTAGTATACGCTCCCTTGGAGGTGGTTCCTAATTTTGGTGAAGATACGAGACATCTTGTCTTACATTCGTAAGCGACCCTACATCACATTCTCATGATCAACCCTTGACCGAAATGTCAAGATTTGAACTTAAGACCTTTCCTATTAGAAACCCAAGCCTTGTCCAGTGAACCATCGATATCTATTATCTATTATCTATCTATTATATACTATACAAAAGACTATTTTTCTATCACTACATTCATTTGAAACCCAACTTTTCTATTTCTTTCTAATTACTACATTAAATTCATTATTCTTCTAATTTTAATATTAATTCTTTATTTTCAAACCCTGTTTTTCTAAATAATCAAAAAGTTTAAGTATAATACCTAAATCAAAAATGCAAAATTAACAAAAAAATAGATCAAAAATTACTTTTTATAATACTATATTTTTTTCAACAAAGATAGATTTAAAATTATTTAAAATATTAAAAGTTTCAATATAATATTAAATATATAACCTACATCAAGAGGTTTTAAAGTTATTTAAAAGTAATAAATGTTTAACTATAATATTAAATATAAAACATACATCGAAATGCCAAATTCATTCGGAGCCTATGGATATATTCCATTAAAATGTCATAATCATAAAATATGTCTATATAAACTGATATCATTCATAATTATAAATAAATATAAATCAAGAAATAAGTTTATTTTTATTTTTATATACAACCCATGGCTAACCGCTATTAAAATGGTGTGATTTTAATATTTATATATCTTATTTTTTATTTAAAACTAGAAAAGATTCACCGGCATTGCCGGGTTCGAAAGGTATTGCTTTGTAAGTAAAGTAGCATGTTGGTTGCTTTTTGTCCGTTAATGTGAGGGTAATTTGGTCTTTTCAGGTAATAGGGACTGAATTTGTTACCATGGGTAAACCATATGGACCATTTATGTAATTTTGGCGGTGGTGGTGGTGATGGCAGATGGTGGGTGGGTTTATGGTATTGGGTGAGTATTTTCTAATAAATAAAACATTAATTTAAAACTAAAAAGAGAATGTTAAATCTGATAAACCACATGGACCAATCGTGTAATTTTGTCTAACAATAATAATAATNNAATAATGATGAGGGACCATTTCTGCCAAAAGACTAAATACTAATAATATGTAATAAAAGACGAGGGTTATAAAAAATTCAAACCAAAGTGAAATGATTGTTTGTGAACAAAAGCATAAAGATGAAGGGTCAATGTTGTAAGTTGGAGGACCAAAATTGAGAAAAAATATGTCAATTTACTCTTAAAATCTTTCATAACTTTAATATATATATAATAATAATAAAAATGTTTTATAACAAGTTAGTGTTAGACTTAGAACTATTAGTTCATAGTTAGTAACAATAATATATATTTTTTTAATAACGATATATTCGTTAATATTTTACTTATATTTGTGCGTTAACATTCGCCTAGTAATGATTTAAACTTATAACCTCCAAAATGATTACCACTATATTACATTGATATGTCGTTTAAATAAAAATATGAATTAATATGATGCATTACATATCACCAATTCTTTTTTATATAATGCAAAAAATGATTTAAGGTTGAAGGGAATGATAGTATCTTTAACATATTGTCACATCAGATTTTTTTTCATACCACATAAGCTAGAGGAGTGCTGACATCAAAGTTATAAAAACATATGGAATGGTTGTGTGTTAGTTTAAAAAAAAAACAAAAAAAACAAAAAAAAAAAACAACAAATCATATCTCACCATCCCATTTCTCTCTCCTCTCGCTATGTAGGTAACGAGCTCTTTTTAGCGTCCCCTTAGCGCATGACATGAAGTGGTGTAGCACATGCTTAGAATACATTGGCGAGAGCTCTTAGCGAAACCACAATGGCCTAATAAAAAAAATCATAATTTTATTAATTAGATCATAGTTTTTTATTTTCTTGTTGTTTATTTTCTCTTAGGTTCCAAGTATGCGTCCATTTTTCTTGTTTATTTATTTTATTTCATTATTTATAAATTTATACTTATTCATTTATAATGGCACATGCATAGCTCTATCAAGTATCTCTTCACATTTACATCAAATACTAACAGAATATAACATTATCGACATCAAATATATGTGTTTTAAGTATTGCATATATTTATTTTTTTAATATCAACATTTTCACAGTCGGATTTTTGTATAGCAAATTCATATGCTTGGTCTTGACCTTAGAATTGGTTAAAAGGTCACATAGTATTACATAATATACTATTAGTAATAAATAACTTGACTTAATTAATGCATTAATACTGATATGATAGAGATGTAGTTTTGAAAATAATCTTTTTTTCGTACAATAGTTTTTCTCTCCACATACATCGTTAAAAAGACTGAAAACTTGCTTGTTAAACTGAACATAAACTACCCAAAATATAATGACTTAGATCATATGTTTAAAGTTGTTCATAATTTGAAATTTCTTATTCAAATGGAGAAAATTACATTTTTACCCGTTATCTAACCAACAAAATAAATAGAAAAATAATGATTTCTTTCGGGTATAAAAGTCATTACAATTAATAACACCACCCAAACATTCGGTTCATATAAGATTATAAGTCCATTAAAAGATAGAAAGTTTATATCACAAAATAAATGAAGAGAGATTTAAAAAAAAAAAGGGCAGTTCTTCCACTTCAGAGCTGTAAATTCTAAATCCAGAAAACTAGTCTTCTTAAGTTGCGCGGTTTCCTTTGAAACATATACGATTGCTGGATTTTTGGAAAATTGGCTCTAGAAAACAGACTGGCCTTCAAAAAAGAGAATACGAAGCATACACCATACAGATGTGCCTCATCTCAGAACCATCTCTCTTCAAAAAATTCGTGATGGGACCGGAAACTTAACCGACGATCACTAGCGAACGGAGTAGAATGATCGTAAAACAAACATGTTGACATGGGAGGTCACCGGAGCATGGACGTGAGTGATTGGAAAACGTCTTCTTCACATGGGATCGCGAGACCCATATCGTGATTGAAGCCGTATTCTTCTTCCGACCACCGCAGCAGGCGTTGAAATTCAGGATAAGAAAGGAATGAAATCGGAACGATATATCGTGTTCTGTTGACTCCGACGTAGACCGGGAAGTGTCCTTTCGGAACGTCGAGTGGAAGGCCGTCAACAACGTCGTACCAGTGCTTCTTCCCTATGCTTGAACACCTCTTTATAATTTGTTTCAGAAGGGCGGCTTGTGTGACTTTGTTTGATTTCCTCTCACCCATTTTCGTGTTGGTCTGAGTGTGTGTTTGTTATTGGGGTTCTGGTTCTGTTGGGTTGCTGAGAGGATTGAAGGCTATGGAGTATGGTGATGAAGAAGATGGCGGAGGAGGAAGGGTTTATAAAGAAACGGGGTTCGAGTGGGGGACCACCAAGACCAAGAAGAAACACCATAGATGTTTTGGTCCTAAGACAAAGTAGGGTCCTAACCCATTGGGATCTATACAATTTGTTG